TCGTGTAGTTGCGACACAGTGTACACTTGCAGAAGAAACAAGTAAAAGCAAAACCAGGGGAAGTTGTGTGGGAATGCATGGGAGAGTTAGATTGGCTTTTGGTTTCTCCACCACCAAGGAAAAGCTATGGATCAGGTTCTCATCTATCTCACTGAGATTTGAGAGTTCTCTGCAAGCCAACAGCTAGCCAACCTCCCCTCATATCAAATGCCAAAGGAATAAAAACAAAGAGTTGTGGAAAAGACAAGTAGGTGACTCCCCTTCCCTACCAAGGAAACAATCACGCACTTGCGCCAGATAGAAGTGCAAGTATCCACAGGCTGCTGCTGATGCTTATCTCCTCAACACATCACTGCCCACATCACATGTTAGGGAGTGTCAAACCTTAGTCAGCACTCGCATGCCGAAGGTTGAGATTGCACCATCACAGAGCAAAGAGTTGGGGACAGTACTTGAGGAGCAAGTCAGCGGAAGCACCTCCATATAATAATTAATCCAAGAACTTTGATGCTTAATGTTGGCGTCAGTTGAGTGCACGTTATAGCAGTGCAGCACAAGCAGAAGAAGGTGGAGACTTTGCTTGAAGCGACCAAAAACATGGAGGAAGATGAAGAGGAAGACGAGGAGAAGAAGAAGAAGCTTGACATCGTCACATGGAGGTGGGGGGCGGTTAGCTTCTCTTCATAATTCATCCTCTACTTTAATGCTCTAAGCTAAGTGGGTTGCCTTCTCTTCTTTGATTATTTGGTGGCTGTGTTGCTTGCATGTGGTCTGCTAACGCACTCTTTTAGGAGTGGAGTTCTCTGCATTCAGTGCAGTGAATGATATATCTTGTGATATCAACTTGAAGACCACACAATCTTCTGTAGGCTTTTAATGCATAATGGTATGTTCAGTGGCAAGCAACCGAATGTACATGAACGGATGTGAATGCTGAGATCAACCGAAGCTTGGTCCAACCTTTTCTAGCTTTACCTCTCGCCGGAGCTGCATGAACAGTGGCTGGCGTGTCATAGTTGACCAATGGGGATTGGGGTGGATTGCGATCAGAGTGGGCATCGTTGACATCACCAACTTTCAATGATTTGGACTCACATGGAATTGAATGGTATGCCGACAGATGAGCTCTGGGATTAGGTCAGCAAAGGCCAACAATGTGTACTTGGACTGATCGATATACCCACCATGCTGTTGTTCTTGCAGGTCAAACCCATGGTTTTTAGAAGCCTTACCTTCTCTGATTTGGACTCGTCAGGAGAGGAGAGCAATGACCACAAGAAATCTCACTGCTCTTCCCAAAGATTTTGTTTCCGAGAAGTGGATGGAGTCCAGAAGTGAATCAGCGTTTTGGTCAAAGGTAATGTTCTAAAACCAGCTTCTTTCTGTCTTCTTTCTCAGCCTAGCTTTTACTTCATGTCTCAATCGTATATCTGATTTCTTACATAGTAAAACCATGTGAGACGATGGATTCAGTAATAGAATAGAGCTCTTCAGTGGACTCCAATGGTGTGGATCATGTTAGTAGTTGGTGGACTCTGTAATGAGGTCAGCTCTTGCAGCCCATCACCCACTCGAGGAAATGTCAAAGTGATCTGCACCTGACAAGGCTTAGTAGTTGTCTTCAGAAGAAGAAAAAGAAAGAAGATAATCTTTCTTATGATTCTACTTTTAAGCTTTAGATTAAGCTTAAACTCTGGAGAGAGAGTCCAAAGCCAGAGTAGAGTGTAGGCATGAGATGCTACAGGAATCCTCAACTGCATCTGTGATCATGAGCTTAGTGCTTTAATCTGTGACCTTTGGCCATGGCTCCAAAGTACAAGACACTGCACACCTAATAAACTGTGAAACAAAGTAGATGTCTACAGTGGCACAGCTCATCCTCTTGGTAGACTCCTGTGCCAAGTCCAAAGCCAAAACCAAGCAGCAGCAGCAGCAGCAGCCTGTGACCTTCCCTGGAAAGGGAGCTTCCACTTTCCTCCTCTGAGAGAAATAAGCCCACTTCATGTTGCTGCTGCTGCTTGTTTTACTCATGGCTTACCTCATGGAAGGCACCAAGAAATCTGCACATTTCATCAAAAATGAACTTGACTATTAGATGAACTATGAGCCTCCCATGCTCCATTAATCATCAACTGTAGCACTCAAGACAATCACACAATGCAAGAACAGTGATGCATGAGCTTCACATGATGATGTAGTCCACAAGACTTTTACCAAAAGAAGATGTAGGTGTTAACACTAGAAAAGAAAAAGAGTTCCCTGTGGGTGTTCATCTCATGGCCTCCTCTGGTCAAAATTCTGTTTTCACTACATTGGTGTGTGGGTCTCTCTCTCTCTCTCTCTATCTCTCTCTCTGATCCTTTCTGTAGGTGGAAGTACAGGTCTGGTCCAACTGCAGATCAATTCTGCAATATTCATCTCAGTACTTCTAATTGTCCAGTGAGATTAAACAAGAAATACCAAGGAAAATTTGTCTTGACAGTGATTTCCAAAGCCAAAAAACAATCAGTCTGTTTTCTGATTTCTTGATTATTGTTGTTTGGTTCTCTGAAACAAGGAACCAAAAACTCATCTTTCTTGATTGACTTAGGTGTCTGTAAGAGTCTGAAACATCAGCAGATTTGTCCTCAGTAGTGCAAGCAATCAAAGCTGTCCAAATTCTATTTCTTCTGATAAGAATTGGTCACCAGTAAGAGGAAAAAGTGAGCCTAAATCACTTGGCCGACTGCTCACACCATCCTCTCAAAGCAAAACGCCATTAAAAGCGGGTAAAGGCTGTTAAAGCCTAAAGAGACAGGTGATCTAAAGAAACAATCCTGCATTTAATGAGGCGTGGGGAGCAATGCTCCTCCTCCTCCTCCTCCTCCTCGAATAATTGCCAAAGCTAAAGCTTACGGGGAGAGGCGAAGACAGTAAGAGCGGCCAAATCATCCATCAACACCACCTCCGCGTGTCCGCTACGGTGCCAATGAGTGCGTTGCCACTCAAGTCCTTTTCCGCTTGCTTTCCTTTTAGCTTTTCCTTTCGTTGTTTGCAGGAGCAGATGAGGCACTGCTGCTGCCTCTCTTTGCTTCACATGAGTACAAGAATTCCACTCGCTCTTCCTGTTGATGTTAATGATTAAGAGAGAAAATTAGTAGCATTTCTTTAACACCACTTTGATGAACAGTTGGTCAAACACTGATGAAAAGTTGATGCCATCAAACCTTTCTAGCATTATTCTATCATCTATATGTATCATCATATGTCTATAATGAATGCCCATCAAGAATACAAAGAGGGGGTGGAAGTAATAAACTTGATATTATAAGTTTTATTTGTACAAATATATAAATATATATATATGTATATATGTGTGTGTACATTTTTACTTATAATTATTACCATATTATCATTTATATGTGAGGTAATTGCAGCATGCACTGTTATGGAGTAGATGGGTGTGGGAGATGTACTCCATATGATGGTGATGGAGGCCTTCACAATGGCTTCTTTGTCTGCTGGACTCCATACTCCACAAGGAGATGACACTGGCAACAGTCATCCGCCCCTTCCAGTGTTGCGCACGTCGTGCAGCATCCCACCTGTGTTGACAGCGAGCGGCTGCCCACCACCTCCTCCTCCTCCTCCTCTTCCTCTTCTCCTCGGCAGTAGCTCATGTATGCCTCAATAATTGCCGCAACACTTCTCCGCTCTTAATTAGTTGTCCGCTTCTTCATCGTTGTTGGACACCACTTGCTCGGCATTCTCCTCCTCCCTCCTTTTGGTAGGAATTGCTAGCCACCTCCGATCACCTCTTTGAATTCCTTCGAATCCAGAAGAATGATGAGAAAAAAGCTTCCTTTTTTGACATAAACCAAGCCTCGAGCTGAAGATAGGAGATGGATGCGAGGATGAGAAGATATGCGCCGCAAACCAGCCCGGAGAGGACCAAAGTGTGGACCGAGCCTCCTCCCAAGCACCCACTGCAGCAGCAGCAGCAGCAAGGGAGAAAAGTTCCGGTGGTGTATTACCTCTGCAGGAATCGACATCTGGAACACCCGCACTTCATCGAAGTCCCCCTCTCCTCTCCCGAAGGACTCTACCTCAGAGGTAGATGGCTTGATCTTGAGTAACAAAAAAGAGTCTCTTTTTAGTCTGTGTTGTGTTTGATTCGTTGTGGATCTTCCTTCTTTTTATCTCCCTTCTTCGTTGGGTTGGTGTAGATGTGATTGATAGGCTTAATGTGCTGAGAGGCAGGAAAATGGCCGCCATGTACTCCTGGTCTTGCAAGAGGTAATCTTGGACGAACTTGAGATTGGAAGAACCCTAGATTCTTGGTTTTTTGGTTGACTGATGATGTAATGGTAATGCAGGAGCTACAAGAATGGATTCGTGTGGCATGACCTTTCCGAGGACGATTTGATCCTGCCGGCGCAGGGCAATGAGTTTGTGCTCAAAGGTTCGGAGCTCTTGGATCAAACCCCTCCAGGTACATTGGGGATTCACATCCCTCCTTAATCATTGCTAGTTGAGTGTGGGAAACAAAATTATATGATCAGGTTGAATGTTGCTTTGGTTGGATATAGATCGGAACAATAACGGCACAAGCAATGTGAAGGTCCAGAATCCGAAACACCCTCTGCAAGACTCACCACCAGTTTGTTTTAAAGGCCAAGAAGCTTCTTGTTCTTCCTCTTCGGCAACAGTGGTAATTAAGGAGGCAAAACTTCCCCTGACGTCGACAATGCAACCAAATCCTCCTCCTGCAATGCAAGAAGATGAGCTGTCACCCTCGACTCGTAGATCGGGCTCCTCGGGGAACTTTTCGCCGGAGCCTTGTGGTAGAACTGCCCCATCATCAGCACTGGGTTCCCCTGACCCAGCGGACTACAGGATCTGCAAGCCCATCGGAGCTCAGGATGCCTCGACTCAAACTGATGATGGAGGAGGAAGGAGGACTTGTGGAACAAACACACGAGTTGTCGGTGTCTCCACCGATGATAGGCCTCCACATCTTGAATACAGCGAGAGCCAAAACGAGCAGACAATGTGCGTAAAGGAGGAGACTGAGATCGTTAAAGTAGAGCGATCACCACCACCAACATTTTCAAGTATTCCTTTTTCTTGTGGGAAGATGAATACGTTGGAGTCCTTGATCAGAGATGAAGTAAACAAAAGGAACAACTTCAGGGTTGTGGAGGAGGAGGATGTTTTCCTGCCAACCGGGCCAAAATTTAAAGCCACAAATATGCTCATGAACGTGATAACATGTGGGTCAATCTCTGTGAAAGACCACTATGGCTTCGGATTTGTGCCAACCTATAGGCCAAGGTTCACTGATATGAAGTTCAGCTCACCAATGTTTTCCAATCCAATAGTTTTGGGGGAAATTAACTGCTTGCCAGAGAGCCAAAGAGGAATGGGCTTAAAGATGAAAAAGAAGGAATATATCAATGGGAGCATGATTGAACCAAACAAGTACAAGGAAGAAACAGGGGAAGGAGTTGCTGATCTAAAACAGTCATCTTTATTTGATGAGGACAGGTATTGCAGAATTTTAATGCTTAAGTTAATTTTTGGTATAGAATTATTTCTATGAAGTGCTAATATTCTTCACATAGCCCAATTGATTGGCTCTCATTTACATAAATTTGAATTGTCTGAAAATCACCACATAATTATGTTTACTTGGGAAGTCTCTCCGCGTTTGCTGAATAGAATGTCTCATCCTCACTTGATGATAGTGTTATCTGTACCGTCATATCGTATTCGTATTCTTTGTCTCTTTCTTTTTGCAGCTTGGAAATTTAATTGATTATCAGGTATCAAAGGAGAAAAAGGAAAGTTTATAGAAGAAAATTTTTCCTTTTCTTGATTAGCTACACTAATAAAGATGTTGAAAATACTTAACCTTCTTTTAAGTTTATCGAAGTATATTTTTATCAGCTCCCTGCCTATTTTTTTACATAAAACATGGGGTGTGCCTCTTGGAGAACATATCAACCTTTTTTCCTATAGTATGTATAACTAACTTTATTTTTAGAAATTGAATTGTAACGGACCTCCTCAAACATCGAATATCTCTAGAGACATTAAAAGACCTCTTAAGTGATGGTAAAGCAAGTACTTGAGTATGTTGGATCTTCCTGGAATGAGCGGTAACCAAATATTTCTTGATGTATAATGCAGCACAGATTTTCTTTTCCACAAATTCCGCACAGCACACCCTATATTTCTCTTCCTTCAGCAAGTGTACTGAAGCTTTTTTTTTTTCTTTTCCAGCTGCTTAACCTAGATAATATTTTCTTGGGGAATATAAATCACTCACTTGAGTTAAATTGTTTAATATGAATTGTGGATGAAATCATTACATTAGAATGGAAATGTCTAGGGGTGATATATTTCATATGGCACTGAATGTTTGCTATATATGTGATAGATGATCATAACAAAATACAGAGTTGTGTTGTTTGTGCAATTATCTTTCTTAAGAGTTGAAGAAAATTCAGAAATTTTGCAATGGTAGAGAGGAAGGATATAATTGTCCCTCGTTGAATGGATGAAGGATCCAAGATTTTTGGTCCCAATGAGTTCATTTGGATTTCTGTCAACATACTATTGACATAGGTCCATGCCCACTGATAGTGTGTTGATTTATAGTTACAAGGTGCAGGATCACCATATTCCCATTTTTCCTTTCATTTCTGCACTTGTACCATGACCTGGAACATTCCAATGTTTAAGTGATTGTGCTGATACACCATTCTTTCTTATGTTTTCTCATGCCGATAAGCACAAAACCTGTAGTGTAATGTTTTGACTGTGCCATTACCATGTTAGGATGTCATTGTTATAGTGTGTACAGGACAATATGGCATCGAGGTGAATTTGAGTTTTGACCATGCCATAACCGGCTGATTTGTCATCACCATTAGCATACATATAAAAACTTTGACCTTTTTTGTTTTCTAATCTATATTTCCTTGTGAATCAGTCTTCCTATTTTCACATCTGTTTTTGTCATTTTCGTAATTTCAGTTTTCAGTGGTTCTTGGTGCCATAGCCTTTTTGGTTTTGATATTTCTTGTATGCTGACAGAAATATTGATGATGCAGGAGCTTCAACATTCCTTTCATGAAAAAGGACAAAGAAAAGGCAGTGGATTCAGCTCAATCGAAGTGTCTCCCTAGGACTATCAAAATTACATCCAGCAAACATTCCAGGAATGACCAGAATGAAACAATGATGTCCCCAGTTTCAGATAAAAGGAATTCTTCTGCTGGACCAGATATATTCAAATCTTCACCAATCAGTTCGTCAAATGGTGGAAGTAAAAGAATAGTAGATGATTCTTCAGTCAAAGGATTATCCATGAGGTTAGAATCTTTCAGAGAAGAAAAAGAGAAGGTGATCAAGATCGAAGAAAGTTGAGTTATATTGCCTACATCACCTGAAACTGAATTTTAAAGGTTACTGGTATTTTGCCCCTAAAAGTTTGTTTCACTTTAATCTCTCAGGCTTACTTCTGGAGCTCGGGTTATAATCCAGTCTAGATCTCGATGTGATGATAGTGAAGGTAGCTCTGATTGATTACAGTAACCCAGTGTTCCCACATCATGTCTTTCATTTCACTTTCAGCTGCTTTCTTCACAGCTGCGCTTGAAGGGGATGTCTGTCAGCAATGTTTAAAGTGCCCGTGAGTGCCATTGGTTCATTTTTTCGACTTGTTCTATTAGTTCTAAGTTGTTCTCTCTAGCAACCCTTGAAAGAACCTTTTAGGTTTCCTACCTGCAAAAAAAGTGCCATTGTTTTATTAATATCTTGGGGCTGTTAAGCCATCCTGAAGTTGCATTATTACTTTGAAAAGAAATGTTGTCTTCCTTGCACTATGTAAGCTAAGTCTTCTCAGTTTTTATGGCCTAATAACAAGCCTGCATGACATTGTATCTACAATCTATAGATGAAGGAGAGCTGTGCATAGCAATTAGCTACTTTTGACAAGAAACCCTGTATATGATATGTCGCCTTGTGATGTAGAACATATTTCCATTTGATTGGAACACTATGAAGTTCTGCGTGTAATATTCTCGTTGGCTATGTGAAGTTTTGTTCGGATTGACTATTATATTTCAGAACATTCTAGAATCTAGCTTGACATGTGCCAAAGGTGAACTATGATGGTTGAAATATTGTTTTCCAACGATATATGTAGGCATTTTTTTTTCATAATGATGCCGTGGATGTCTGATGTCGGTCACGAAACGCTGTTTTCATCCTTGAAATACCCATTTTCTTCAGCTTATTGGTAGCTTGTGAAATAAATAAACAAGTTTGATAGCATTTTCTTCTGCCTCTCTCTTGTTGGCTTCAGTCAATCTTGTGAGTTGTAATGGTGCAGCTGCATTGATGATGGGTTTACAATGTCCTCTTATGTTGCAAGAAAAATATTTGGAATAATGCCTTATACTGGTGGCTTTCCCAAATAAATTGTCTCAGGTCCCAAACTCATCATACCTTTATAATGCATTCATACCTTGATGGGATCATTGTGTTGCTCACTATGTTGAACCCTCACACCCATGTTAGGGTTCCTTCTTATTGGGAATATGGCCTGCAACTATATCAGAAGAAACTATTCCAAACTTAGTCATAACTTCAACTAATTCTTTTGATATAGTTGAAGCTTTAAGTATCATCCACCACCTGTTAAAATTGGATGAAGCCAGGACAGGATCAAACACAAGAAGAGGTTTGGATTTTGACAAAGTGAATGCTAAATCTTGCATTCACTTTGCAGAAACAAGCAGAGTCATGGGTGATGGCCCCTCTTTCATTCACCCATCAACATCTTTCATTCCATCAAGTGTGAGCTTGAGTTAAGATAAGATCAAGCTTAGAGAAGTCAATGTATCAGTACATCTTTCTTAAGAGAAGCTCAGGGGGTTAAGGAATCCAAATTATCTGTCTTACATGATTCTAGATTTTTTTATCAATGTCATTGCATCTAAAAGCTTAGGTAAGGAGAGGAGACATGATATGTTGATTTATGGACTCTAACACTTGATTATGTCTGTGTCATCAAATTGGAAGTTGTTCTTCTTAGAGGGACAACCATCCTTTTCTCTCATATGCAAGGAAAAATACCATAGTTAAAAGACAAGACAGAGGCTCAGATCCTTGTTTGCAAGCTTCCAAGCAGTAGAAGTGGACAGCAGTAGCAGACAAATACTAAGGCAAACCTCAAACTAAATCTCAGCAGAATAGCAACACTAAGCATGTCTCTTCTTCCCTTTTCTTCTTACAGCAGCAGTTTTCCCCTAAGCGAAAGCTCAAAGGATTCGAGTGAGCATAATGTAAGGCTGCTGCTCTTTCATGGTAGCACAAAGGAGCTGCTCATCAGACACTCTCTGAGGTTGTTGATGGCAGGAGTGGCTGCTTCAGAGAGGAAGCCTTGAAGGAAGCAGCAGCTCTGACAGCATCGTGCTCGGGGTTGGAGGAGGCAGCGATGGCCGCTTCCATGGCAGCAAAGCCTCTTTCTTCACTCTTCCCCCATAGCACCAGATAGAGCCCAGCTATGATGAAGATGGCTCCAATTATGCTGCAAGAATGGTTGAATCTCATTACACAAAGTGGAAGCTTAGAATGGGCACAGAGATTAGAAAGACGAAAGAGAGGAATGGAGTACCCGCCGAGGTAGAACTCCTCGCCCAAGGCGATGGCGGCCATGATGGCGACGACCAGAGTCTGGACCGGCTGGTAGACGGCCACGAACACGGGGCCGCCCCTGTCGATGCACCAGATTTGCACCGCGAAGGCGATGCCGGACGCCACAAATCCCTGCATTCAGCTCCGATTCGTTAGTAGCATGAAACTTGGTCGAACACCTTCGCTGCATTGGCCCGTCTATTTGTTGCCATCAGCGAATGTGACGAATCATCAAGTATGTCGAGTTGCTCTCTGCTCCATTTCCTGTATCTGCTAAACCATTACAGGCATGATGAGAGGACCTTTGTCTCCCTCTCTCGATTCATATAATGATTACTACATGGAACCTACAGAACTCTCTGCAACGATGAACAGAGGGTGCTGTTGTTGCTTCGTGCATTACGCTGCGCATGCATGCATGCATTATTGAAAACCTAAAAAGAGCCGAAAAGACTGGGGAGGGAGCAGCCTACCGCGTACAGAATGGTGAAGAACTCGCCGCCGGAGTGGAACATCCAGGCCTCGGCATCTCGCTCGATGAAGGCGGCGATGACCAAGAACTGGATCACCCCGAAGAAGCATGTGTAGGAGGTGACGGACAGCCGAGCCGGGTACTTCTTCAGCAGCGGCGCCTGGAGCACGAGCCAGCCCGACCAGGAGAGGCAGTGGCCGATGAGGTACAAGCAGCCCAGCGTCCAGTCCTTGCCCATGGTTGGCGCCATGAGCTGGTCTGCTCCGTTGAGGGCGCGCGAGGGGCCGAAGATGGTCGGGCCTTTGTACAAGGTGATGACGGTGGCGCCGCCGACGCAGGCCAGGGTTCCCATCAGCTTCGCGATCCCGTCGCGCCGGTCGATCCGCACCTTCTCTATCCTGTTCATCAGCACCTCACGCCATCATATATACCGTGGGTGAGGACCGCAAAGGTGACTGAATCTTGCCTGAGAACGGCGGCCATGAGGAAGGTGATGGCCGGGACAGAGTTCTGGATGGCGGAGGCGAAGGTCGGTGAGGTGTACTCGAGGCCGAGTAGATAGAATCCCTGGTTCGCGGTAATACTGCCATGAAAACAACACAGAGAATTCAAGATTGCTTCGAAGCAGGGGCTGTAGATGTAGACATGACAGATGGATCTTACCCACACAAAGCTAGGAGGAAGAACTGGACGGTGAAGGAGAGAGTCATAGCCGGCCTGTCCTTCCTGCACAACAAACACCATGGTCAAATGCCGTATCCTTCTGATACCTACTCATGGACATCGCAAGTCTTCTTACTTTTCCAGGAAGTAGGCAAACGGGACGAGGAGGATCAAGGCGATGATGTTGCGGTAGACGGGGAAGACCACCTTACTGATCCCCATATTAAGGGCCGCCCGGGAGACGACATGGAAGCCGGCGTAGCCAAACTGCAGGGCCAGCATGGCTACGTGCAGCTGCACCCTCTCCGGCACGCCACATACTTTCCTCGCGTCCACGTCCGCCATCTCAGCCACCACCTGAGACGAAGGAATGAAGAGGTGGAGCGAGCGGTGCGAAGAGTAGAGCAGCGGTGAGGGGGGTTTATATACAACTGGAGAGGAGGGAGGAGGGTACAGATCGGTGTGGTGGTGTCGCCTTAGAGAGGCTCTAAAAAGAAGCTACACATACTGATGTTGTCTTCGGGTTGTCTCCCACCTTCTCTCTCCTCCATCCACACTGGAATCTGCGGCGAGGCGCTTTGTAACGCTTGCCATGGATTCCTGTGGGTTTGGGAACTCTCAACGGCAACATCTCTCTCTCTCTCTCTCTCTCTCTCTCTCTCTGTAGTGTTTACTGTGCTGATTCAGTCAACCCTGGGTGGGGCAAGATGATGATGATGATAACACCATCTCACTTTGGTCGACCTGAATCCGGCGAACTCAACTTTTAGCACTGCGTTCCACTCGCCTGCCACTCCCAAAGTCCTCCTGCAATGCGATCCAGGCGTGCAGCCCTTTTCCTCGCAGCAGACCCTTCAGGTTCCTCCCGCTTCCTCCTTTAAAGAAACATCCTGCCCTCCCCCTCCCGGACAAGCCATCATTCCATCACCGTCACAGCTCTCCTCTTCGCCATGGCACCTGAATCGGGCGATGCGCCTCCCTCTGTTGCCACCTTGCCCTTGCTCTCCCTTCGCAAAGCAGTCCGTGCTCGCTACCTGGTGCAGGCTGCTAAGGAGAAGCTTTTTGCCCTGTGTGCTTCTGCTAGTTCCAACTGGTGGTGTGCTATGTTGTTGTCTATACGTTGCCGTCATCGATGGCATCTACTACGGTGTCTCATCTTCTCTTCGGTGTAGCTTCGTGGTCACATCGCTTGCTTTCCCCACAAGAGCAGCGTGCGGCAACTTCACATTTCTTAAGCTGCATGCCGGCAAGAATCTTTAGCAGTGGCTGCGTAAGGAATTCTGATCGAGAAGTAGAATCTTAATTTCCAGAGTTATTTATGTAAACTAAGCATGTTGATCGTGGTTCGATTCGAATCAGGATCTAATCAATCAGAATTAGATTGAATCTGGTCAACGATTCCATAGTTTTGAATCAAATCCGAACCAATAATTCCAAAACAACTAAATGTAAATAAATTACATGATATAATGGTTAGTATTTTAAATTTAAAATTTAATGACATGAGTTTGAATTGACAATTTGATTTCTAAAACTAATAAGGGACAATTTGATCGGTCGTTATTAGTACGACCCATCGGCTTGCGAGAAATTATTTACTTTGAACGACGTACTCGTACGATTTTATCTTTTCGAAACATGTGAGCTCTAAAAAATATCTCAAAGGATAAGGGAGACCTGAATGGCATCCGTTTGAACACTCCTATAATAGAATATCCAAGCAAGTTTTTTTAAGAATAAATCAAGTGTTGCTTTATCTTAATATATAATCAGAAAAATATTTGTATTTGGACTTAAATGATTTTGTTTTTGAAAGAATAAGATGAGAATAACTTTTAATTTAAATTAAATTACAAAAGACAGACATCTTTTCCTTCCCAAATACCACATTTGGAACATCCTTGTATCGACTGGACGTGGAATGCACTACAGGGTACGTGATATGACCCTTGCTTGCCCACTTCCTGAGGCAAACAAAATCTCTCACTGATCCTGTGGAAAGAGAGAGAGAGAGAGAGAGAGAGAGAGAGAGAGAGAGAGGGAAGGCACGCCTCGTCCTTGTCTTCCACCCTCAACGCATGCTCTCAGCGACTTTGAGACATGAAGTGACTGCAAATGCTCACTCGGCCGTCCTTGGAACCCTGGAGATGTTACAGCATCTGCCTTTGTTTCCTCTCCTCATCGAGAGCATGGAAGTTCTTGTTCCCAAGATTAGGTTATCGGTTCATCGTCAACCTCCAGCAACACACTCCTGCTTATTATCTCCATAATATCTGATCCTTGATGTGTTCGAGCAAACTGAAGTCAAATTTAAGACACAAATGATATTTGCCGGTATCTATTCTCTTGGTAAGTGAAATGGTCAAATGAAGATGGTCTAAGCAGTATCTCCGGGTAATGTACGTGCATGTCGTCCGACAAATCACGTCCCATGTCGCTTCATGAACTGATGGGAAATTGCTGCGTTCTTTTCGGTGACTCGGCAGCAAGTCCAAAGCAGATGCATGGATTTCCAGCCTGCACAGATGCACTATCTCATCGTCTCTCCCCTCCCCTTCTCTTCCCTAGAAGAACACACACACATCACTCTCTCTCTTTCTCTCTCTGCAAAGGCTTGCTTTAGTGCGCCTGCCTGAACTCCATACCATCGATTCCACCACCCACCGAATAAATGGGAAGCAAAAGCCGGCACATCCCACTTAGGATGACTGATTGAGAAGATGGCATCCGCCGGAGAGGGAGGCTCAGATTCCTCGTCGGTCATGAGCCACGAATGGTTGCTCCGGGGCGGGTGGTATTGGAGGAGCTTCATGATTCCTATTCGTATCAGAAGTAGTCAGATTGGAATGATGTTGGAATCCTCCCTTGGGACCAGTCCGTCCTTTGAGTTGATGGTTTCATGTCACGGGGAGCACAATGCTGGTACTGGCAAGTCTCAGACCAGCACTGATGGGTAGTGTCGGCCGGCGTGGGGCTCGGAGAGGAACCAAGCGATCGATGGGGTGCCCGAGGAGAGCTTGGACTCTTAGTTGTCACCTCGCTCCAGCTCCTCCTCCGACCAAATTCTTATAGCTAGAATCCAATTCCTCTGCCGTTGATATTTGAGGGTCGGGTGGTGGAAGACTCCCTTCCTCTGCCGTTGATATTTGATGGGGGCAGGGAAGAAGCAGGCGTGTCCAAATGCACCATCTATTCTGTGGGAGCAGCCGCAAGTGGCCGTAGTCAACGCCCACCATAGATAAGCTCACGTTCGATGACCGCCGATTCACCCAGGGAACCCAAAAACGAGCTATTTCGGTGGCCGAGCTTAATCACCCCCGCAGACTTCTCAGGGGGTGACGTGCTCTCAGTTTGGGCCTCTTCCAAGTGGGTCCCACCTAAAAATCTACAATTAACTAATGGAAAATGTCTACCGACATTTTAGACAATTATATACATTTTAGAAACCTGGCAAATGTATATTGACTGCATACATTTATGTGCAATTTAGAGAACCAAACTTCATATTGGATGATCCAATATAACAGGCCTTAATGCCTGTGGAACAGGACAGGCTGGATCTCGTAAATCCCTTATCGGATTCGGGTGCAAATCCCGTCACACGCAGTGTGAATTCGAATTGGGCTGGGCCGATTGATTTGATGGGTTGACTCAAATCAGGCCCAATAACCTTATCGGTCCTCTACATTTTGACCCGACTTCATTGATTTACATGTCCCCTACTCCAATAAATTCAGATGTTGATGGCCGAGTTGACACATAAACTGATGGATTGCCACAGATTTCGAACATGAAATTGAGCTGCTTGCCAATCGATCGAGATGAATATGATCGGTCAACCGACTGCCAATTAAATTTGGAATTAACATTGCTAACACTGGAAGCATATACAGATGCTAATAATGTTAGGGAAAACTTGAGTTCATAGTAGTTTGAAGAGACAGAGTAAAAAGCTACAGAGGATGCGCAGGAGATTAAAAACTCGGCGAGGGGAAGCAGAGAGGGGTGTCGGTGCCTTCAACGTCGTTGTCATGGCGTCTGCAGGTGTTGTTGACCTGAGGGGTCTCTTCAGGCAGCGTTTTACAGTACGGAGAACACCGGATGCGCTTCCGGGCATTTGATTGGCCGGGTGAAGTGGGCGCCGATGATGATCGTGATGATTGATGGCACCTGAAGCAAGAACCAGCCGACAGCCTCCTCAGTTCTGTAAACCACCTTTGGGATGCAGTAAGAAGAAGAAGCGACGACGACGGTGGTCTGGGTAATTTTTTTTCTTTTCTTTTTAATATTATATGGAATTTTTTATATAGATTTATAAACATTATGTTTATAGTATTTTTGTTATAGTATTTTCTATTACTGAAAACACTATAATGTATTATACCATGTTTTTTTTATTGCTGAAAACACTGTAATATTATATGAAAATACTATAAATACTATATATATATATATATATATATATATATATAT